GAGAGAGAGAGAGAGAGAGAGAGAGAGAGAGAGAGAGAGAGAAGGAAAGAGAAAAAAGAAAGAAAAGGAAAGAATAAAATGATGATGATGATGATGATAATAATAATGGCGCAATAATCCTTCTTCGATCAACTATGAAAAAAATTTTTCAAATTCCATCATGACCCAGCAGCAGCATCAGAAACAGCAGCATCAAGTCAGTTATTGCTCATATTTTGACGTCCTTGCCTTCTAAATTTTTTATTATCTTTTTACCTCCATCCATCCATTCATTTCACCCCCTCTCCACCCCCTTTACCACCCTTTATCTCTCTCATTTTATTCTTAAATAGGTCATCATCACTGTCGCACGACGAATTTTCCAGAAAAAAAAAGAAAATCATCATCATCATATTTAAATTTAATTCTTTTTCAATTTTTTTCCATCTTTGTCTTTTCGAAAAAAAAATCCTTCCCCTCTCCTCCTCCTCCTCCTCGTCCACCTTCGAAAAAACAATGTTTCGATAAAACAACGTCATGACTATATAATAATAATGATGATGATGATATTAATTTGAAAGAAAAAAAAAAAAAAAAAAAAAAAAAAAACGAAAAGAAAAAAAAGGAAAATTCTACGACGCAAGCGAATAAGACTTGAAAAGAAAATAATAGAAATTGAATGTTGTTGAGTCCCGTAGGAAATTTAGATGAAGTTTGCGCTTGGATTGGATAAAAAGATCAACAGGAAGTGACACATCGACCAACACCACCGACAGAAGGAAAATACATACAAAAAAAAAAGGGGAGCAACAGGTAGGAACCAACAATTTTTCTTTCTTTTAAAAAAAAATAAATATTATAAAAAATTATTTACATTAATTACATTTATTTATTTATTTTTATTTTTTTTCGTAAATTTTATTTTTTAAAAAAAAAAAAAAAAAAAGAAAATTCGAAATCAATTGAGATCGTTTATATGCGTGACGTGCAATGTTTTGCTATAAACGGAAGTATAACTTTTATTCAACGAATTTTTATAAAATAATTTCCTTTCTTTTGATAATTCATTTAAAACCGGAAATAATTTCGAACCGATTTTTGATTCCGTTTCGATTCCTTTATTAACAACTACGTCACCACCGTGAGTAGTAGTAGTAGTAGTATTATTATTTTTATTATTATTATTATTGGCGGCGTAAAAAATACTTTCTTCCGAATCGAATATTCTCGTGGACAATTCGTATAATTTTCTACCGTTTTCGCGATTGTTGAATAAATTCGTTAAAAATTCTCTCGTTTGTTCGTTTATTTGTTTTCCGTTGAGAATTTTTAGGGATTTCGATGCTACGACGATTTCGTCGAAATATTTCCTGTCGTTGACCATGGGATTATCGTCGCAATTCAATTCTTCCAAAAATGGCCAACAATATATCGTTTCCGTAAAATCTTTAACGTTTTTCAATTTGTTACCGTCTATGATGAGTTTCGTCAATGCGGTTAAATTTTCCAACGGGGACACGGAATCTATGTTATTATTGGCCAAATTAAGGATTTTAAGGGATTGACTGAGGTGAGATATTGTTCTCGGATCGAAAAACAACGTTTCCCCCTGTGGCAACCTTTGATTTTCCAAATGAAGCTCGGATAAATTTTTCATTCCTTCCAAACCTTCGACCACGGAAATTTCGTTATAACCCAAATATAACTTTTTCAACGACGTCAAACAATTTATATTTTCCATTTTATTTATGTAATTGTGTTGAAGGTAAAGGTGAGTCAAATTGGGAAAATTATTCAAGTTTTCCAAATTGACGATTAAATTATTTTGCAAGTAAATAACTTTGACGGATTGACACTGTGGCACGACGGAAATTTTATCTATGTACTGTGATTGAAGGTGAAGATGTGTTACCCTATTTAAATATTCTATATCCGTTTCCCCTTTTTTCTTTTTTTGAAATGAATTTTTTTTCGATATTTTACGAAATAAATATTTCGTCGTTAATTTTACCATTTTTTTCCCTTTTTTTTTTTTTTTAAATGCGTTTATTATTTCCGTGAAAACTTATTTATTTACAAAAAAAAAAAATTAAAAAAAAAATAAAAAAAAAAATTTTGAAAATCAAAGAAGGCTGTGGCAAAAATACGTCATAACAATCGACAAACGTACAACCACATTCATCAGAGGACAAATGATTGATGAATTACTCACGTTATATATATATATTGGATATCAATAAAAAAAAAATTTTTTTCACTTCGAATTCGCACCGAAAAAAAAATTTAATTTCCCCCCCTCCCCCTCCCCCCATGTTGTTTTTTTTTTAATAATAATAATGATAATTAAACTTTACACAAAACACGCACGCATCGAATCAATTGATTTTTTTTTAAATGCACAGAAATAATAATAAATAAATAAATTTTCTTTTTTTTTTTTTTTCTAAATGATGATGATGATGATTTTGTCAGAAAATCGAAAAAAAAAAAAAAAAAAAATTAAATGGAAACCATTGAGAAATAAAAAAGAACCCAATTATCATCGTAATGTAAGATGATGTTAGGGGTCATCAACAGAAATCAGTTTTTTCTTAAAAAAAAAAAAAAAAAACTCAACTTTTGATTATTTAAAAAAAAAAAAAATAATAACAATAATAATAATAATAATAATAATAAATTTTCTTTCGTAAATTGAAAATGCATATACACGCTCGTTCTCCGAATTTTTTTTTTTTTTTTTTAAACAAAAAGAAAAGAAAAGAAAAATGGACGTCGAAGAATTTAGAGAAAAGGGAAAAGAAATGATCGATTATATTTGCGAATACATGAAAAATTTACCCGGGAGACGAGTGACGCCGAGCATCGAACCTGGATATTTAAGGCCCTTACTTTCGACGGAAGCACCACAAGACCCCGAACCGTGGGATGCCATCATGAAAGATGTTGAAAACAAAATTATGCCGGGTAATTTAAATGTGAAAAAAAAAACCGTTTTGTTGTTAACAAAAAAAAAAAACCGTTAAAAAAAAAAAAGACAAATAATGTTTAACAGGCGTCACGCATTGGCAACATCCAAGATTTCACGCATATTTTCCAAGTGGAAATTCATATCCGAGCATATTGGGAGACATGCTTTCGGCTGGTATCGGTTGCATCGGATTTTCTTGGGTGAGAATAAATCAATCGTTGAATAACAAACGCGAAAAAAATTTCAAAACGATAAATTTTTTACAGGCAGCAAGTCCGGCATGCACGGAATTGGAAATAATTGTGGTCGATTGGTTTGGAAGAGCCATTGGCCTACCAAAAGATTTTTTAGCTTTGGAAAAAGACAGCAAAGGCGGTGAGTTAACCTTTTTTTTCTCAAATGATAAAATTTATTATTAATTACCTTTGTTTGTAGGCGGTGTGATACAAACATCGGCGTCCGAATGCGTCCTTGTTTGTATGCTGGCAGCAAGAGCTCAAGCAATTAAAGTATTAAAGCAACAGTTTCCGAATGAGGAAAATGGAACTCTCTTGTCTAAATTAATGGCTTATTGCAGTAAAGAAGCTCACTCGTGCGTTGAAAAAGCTTCCATGATTTCATTTGTTAAACTTCGGATTCTGGAAACTGATGAAAAATACAGATTAAGAGGAGAAACATTAAAAAAGGTTTAAAAAGAAAGAGAGAGAGAAACAATATTTGAATATTTAATAAGAGGTTTTTCTTTTTTTTTTTCTTTTTCTTTAATTATGAGGCTATGGAAAAAGATGTCGAAGCTGGTCTTATGCCTTTTTTCGTTTCAACAACACTCGGAACCACATCTTGTTGTTCTTTTGATAAACTTAATGAAATCGGACCGGTTTGCAAAGAATTTCCCAACGTTTGGCTACACGTGGATGCTGCTTATGCAGGAAATGCATTTATTTGCCCGGAATTAAAACCACTTTTGGATGGAATCGAATATGCTACTAGTTTTAATACGAATCCAAACAAATTTCTACTCACTAATTATGATTGTTCGACCATGTGGGTTCGTGATAGACTTAGGTAAACAATTCAACATTTTTTTTTTTAAATAAAAGTCATTATGGCTGACTTTTTTTAAAATTTTTTTAGCTTGACCTACGCATTGGTTGTCGACCCCCTTTATTTGCAACACGGTTATTCCAGCACTGCAATAGATCATCGTCATTGGGGCATACCTTTGTCTCGAAGGTTTCGATCGTTAAAATTATGGTTCGTTTTACGTAATTACGGCATTAAAGGCATTCAAAATTACATTAGACACCATATTCGTTTAGCTAAGAAGTTTGAAAGTTTAGTGTTAAGCGATCAAAGATTTGAAGTTTGCAACGAAGTTAAGGTTTGTGTGTACTTTCCTAATTTTCCCGTACCTTGCAATATAAACTTTTTATATTAAATATTTTCAAATGATTTTTAGCTTGGACTAGTTTGCTTTCGTTTAAAGGGTTCAAACAGTTTAAATGAAAAACTTCTTAGTTCGATAAACGCATCTGGAAAATTACACATGGTTCCAGCGAGTTTAAACGATACCTACGTCATAAGATTTTGCATTGTTGCACAAAATGCAACCGACGAAGATGTTGGTTGGTGTCATCAAAACATTTTTATTATTTAATTATTATTATTATTATTTTTTTTTTTATTATTAAAATAAAAAATAATTTTATCGTTTTAAGAATACGCTTGGAAAGTCATAATTGAAATATCAGAAGAGCTCTTAGAAAACCAGGAGCTTGAAAAGGTGATGACTTCTTTAATAGGTTTTTTTTATTTATTTTAATTTTTTAACAAAACTTGATAAAAATTAAATTGTTTCAGGAACCAACGGATGAAATTTCCGAAATGTTAGACAGGAAGAAAAAAGAGGGACTGGCTTATAAGAGATCATTCTTCGTCAGAATGGTCAGCGATCCTAAAATATATAATCCGAAAATTGTCAAATATCGACCACCTACAAAAAATCAAGTATCTGACCCAAACATGGCGCTATCAGTTAACACCCCATTGTAAGTAAACTAAACACAAGCCAAAATACATTTTTTAAATTTAAATTAACCATTATTTCGATTATTTCAAATAAGAACATCTTGGATCAGCTGGCCTTTGGCTTTTTTACTTCAAGCGAATCAAGGAGAATCAAGTGAAGTTCCAGTGAGGTCGGTTTTAAAAATATTTTTTTTTGCAAATTTAAAAATAATTTTTTAATTTTTCGACAGATAATCTTGCGACGATATTTACATGGCAAAATCAATCAATTATTTTCAGGTTTCGACATTTAAACACGATGGTAAAGTTGAAAGGTCGTAGAGAAAGTCAAGATAAGACTTATGACGTTGTATCAGAAGATGATGAATCGAAATTAACTCCGAAAAAATCACCAAAATCATCTACTCCAACTAAAAAGGATAAAAAAGAAACGTCTACCTAATGATCTAAATAACTTATTCCAGCGACCGAAAAAAAAAAT